GTACTATTCTGCAAGACGATAAAGAAATGCTTAAAGCAGTTCGATGGCATTCCAGTTCTATGTGAAACTCGGCCACTGTTCAGACGAGATTGTTATCTGAACGTAATTCATGGTAAGATTAGTCAAACGCGTACCGTCATAGAAGCCCTGTTCCATATGAGGTTCAGGTGAGATGGCCAAGTGACGAAGATTGGTTGATGTTCCAACATCTCGCCATGGGGCGTGCTGGTTCAATGGAACACTGCAATATAGACACCTTTGCTTCCCATAAATCTGTTAGTATATTCAAAAATATCCCAGTGTACTTTTACATAGCGTGGAAGGAGAAATAAGGCAGTAATGCCAACATCTTGGAAGTAAAGAAATGAGGAAAAGAGAAAATGAGGAAAAGAAACAATAATGAATACATATAAAAGCAGTCGGGAAAAGGCAAAAAAGGTTGGGCTGGGCTGTAGGCGACATGTCTGAGTATTAGCTGATGCTACAAGTTCTAGTCATAAGTTTGAACTGAGAAAAACAATAAACCTGAAGTCTCGACTCGATGTTAGCTATTTCATAACGGTCAGTAAAGGTCCAATCATTATAATTTCAAGGTACCCTTTTTATGTTGGGAAGCGGATGTTGATGTGGAGTAGCGCCACAGAGTTCGCCTCTGTGGCGAGAAAAGCGAGAAATCCGCTTACTTCGCAAAAAATAAAGCTTCCGAAATGAAAATAGGGGTTGTACGAGATCACCGCGGAGGGAATGGCATGTGAGAGGTGTTTGGACGAGATAGCAGCTATTGCGATTGCGCAAGGAAGAGACTAGATCAAGTTCAAAGTGTCAAAAACTGCCTTCATTTGTTGTCAAAGGTCACAACTAATTGTTCCAATTCCCAATATGGGAGCCCCTTGAGATAGTGCATTCACTACAGCGTGAAACTCGTCCGCCATGGGTGTGGCATTCAACCGATACAATATCTGAGTCCTTGTAATGCTCTACCTAGGTAGTTTACCGATCTGCCTCCGCCACCTATGGTATACTGGTAACGACACAGATTCATCAGAGGGGTATTCCTCAGTAACCATTTTGCCGTGAACTGTGCCTTTAAGGAGGCGTGCGCAAGCGGGTTCTCGGTAGTGTAAAGGATAAGTAGCACAATGCTGAAAAATGCAAGTACGGGGTCGATTCCCTTCTAAAGCCGAAGATGTTGCCCACAACGGACCATCCTTGGGTCAAATTGTTCGTCTATTTGTAGACAATGTAGATTACGGTCTGCACGCCACTAAGGATGTGCAAAAATGAACAGACGCTTTGTTTGGTCCGGGCAAAAAAAAAACCCTAACCATTGAGACCACTGCTTGGGGTCCTGTTACTGTTATGCAGACTTACCCTGTTTTCGCGAAATTTATGAACGATTGTTGAATTACGTCGGCAACTATCTGCTCGGTTTCATCGATTTCGAACTCGCCCAATGCAAAAACGTCGAACATATATGGGAACTCATTAACATGCGTAGATCCTGAAAGAAAAACAAGCTTGCTAAGGTTTTTCCATTATAAAAAAGCAGACGTACAAATCTGAAATGGTGGAGAAACAGAAGGCAATAAGGAAGTCGAATTGACGGCTCGATTCTTCCTAGGATCTTTAAAGGCACAGTTCTTGATGAAAATGGCTTATGAGATATCCCCCCAGGGTAAATTAGGGCGTTATAAAGGCTCAACGATTGTCCCGTGTGTACCTTCGGCCGAGTTTCACCGGCATTGCAGAGGCTGCACCAATCACAAGGGAGCCCATGTAGGAAGTTCAAACAACTTGTCATGACCCATAGCGACAGTG